AAAAAAGTGCCCAATGCGGGAATCGAACCCGGGTCGTAGCGGTTTAAAACTAACAGTTTAGACCACCGACCCCCCGATACATTATATACTCAGGAGTGTAGTGGAAGGATTATAAAGGTCCGAAAGCTTGCACTTTTCACAAATAAAGAAACACATTGCTATCATTTATATTTTTATTTTTCAAAGTTGAACTGCTTTTCACATGTGTAGACATGTAGTGCACTTCAAGTAAAAGCAGTCGCCAACTTCTACCCACCATGCTTATCATGGACTGTACCACATGTACTAGGAATAAGCAAAAAAAAAATATATATGTATTTTATACTTTAAAGCAATTTTCTCTTTTAATACTCAGGAGTGTAGAGGAATCCTGACCATTCCACTGGAAGTTTGTGATGGCTTGTGCCATCTAAATTTTGATTCTTTTTTCATTTCAGAATATTGTGCAAAATGAGACAATTTCTTGTTAAATTAAGAAAAAGCCAATGACATAGGTGTTTCAGGCTGTGGGCCCTCATCAGTGTGGGGCAGGATGCACAAATTCCCTCACAATTTAAATACTTTGATTTATCAGGTAGCCTCTAGGACCAGGTGTTTTGGTCTTTGAGGTAAGTACAGCCTGCACCAAGCTGTGAAGTCCAACAGCCTGAAACATGTATGTGCTTGGTTTTTCTTGATTTGTCAAAAAAAAAAAGGATATTTGGCCATTCACTATTCTGGAATAAAAAATTTTTTTAAATCAAGAATTAGGTAAGATATATATATTGATGAGACAGAGGATGTGAGGCTCAGTGGGTTTATTTGGGGCAGTGCTCTATCATCTTCTCTTCTTATTCTTTCTTATCTCCACTCAATCACACTAAGGTATCAAGCTTGTAAAGCTTGAGACTTTTGATGGGGTCTGTCGGGGAAGAGTAGAGCTCATCAATGGATGAGTCAATACAGTCAATAATGTGTTTTGGGGTTGCAGGTTGAGAATTGCACTTAGTACATAGTGGGAAAACCCTGCAACCATTCTGGAAAGTCAGCTCTATCATCGGGGGTCGGTGGAAGGCTGGTTCAACCATTTGGTTTTCAACCACTACGACCCGGGTTCGATCCCCGCATTGGACACTTTTTCTGTTTTAAAAAAAATATAAAAATGCTCCAATGGCCCCCCGATTCTTGCAAAAGTCCAACCCCACCAGCGAGTGCAAGTAACCAAACGGGCACTTTTACAACTGTCTGCGTAACAGATGCTAAAAATATTCTCTTGATAATTATAATTCTATATATAGCATTTTTTTAGTATTTACTCTATCTATAAAATATATATTTTTTGTAAATTAACTAACAAATCTATATACACAGTAGAACCTCTACATCTCTAAAGGACAACGCCTAGTTCCAGAGTTAAACTCTCCTTTAGGGAGCGGTGTCCTCTTACTTAATTACAACAACAAAAGCCTTTATTGGGCACACGTGCCATACAGGATTCTCCCGGTAGGACAAAATAAATAAATAACAGATTAGCATCATAGTTATATACAAATATTGGGTATTGACCTCGACCAATTATCGAGTTGGATCCGGTATCTGTGCTAAACATTTTGACTGGGCTGATTTCCAGTATTTATAAAAAGCGAATGCAAAGGGTCTGGATTTTACGACTTTTGCCATTAAAACATAAGGCGAATTGCTATTATAGCCGGTCTCTTGACGAAGAATTTCTCTTTCTTCTTCCATTGCCGTGCAGTAGAACATGTAGTGTGGAAAATCGAGAATAAATTGACCGTTGCATAAGGTGCATTTTATGGTCTTAGTTTTCAAAAGTGAAACATGATTAATTCTCTGTACTACAAAAAGGCTTCTTACTTGTGCAATGATTCTCTTTAAGGTTAGGGGGATATTGTCATTCAGATAGCGTTCCATTGTAGGTGATGAATGAAAGTATTTATAGTGAGAGTAGAGTACTGATTTTCTTATTCTTACATAATCCATCTGCAAAGACTGATCGGTTGCCGTTCTAATAATTCCTTACTTAATTAGTAAAAATGGTAATTTTGGTGGTGAAAACTGCCCTTTGTACCCTCTAGCTATAGCGTCCATTCATGAAAGTTCTACTGTATTTTTGCTAAAATATTAAACTATATTGTAGTCACACAAAGTGCGTGTTAAGATATATGGAAGTGTACTATAGGTGTATAAAGAAAGGAAACAATGGAGTCCAGGGCAATTATTCCGTACAGTGACAGCGCGTGTTTTATTCCTGAAAGACATTGTTGCACGTGTGTTGTCCCTCCGGATCTCCTCTTCTAATTGGTCACCCGCCAAAATCGATGCGCCATTTCGCAATGAATTGACAAACTGCGTTCTCTATTATAACTTGTTGCGCTCTCAGTTCTAGCAACTTCTTTCCTTATTTGCATACGTTGTTGTTGGGGGGAGTCTGTCTATATTTACATATACACACACAAAGCTTTATTAAGACCACCGGTCTTATACAGATTCATCACAGGAAGAAAGGAATCATAGATGTAGCTCCTATACTCCAGGCAGCGCAGCACCCAACAACAGCCTTCAAGTCCGACACATGTCCAATGGCCACACGTTCCTTTGTGCATACGTCATGGTTAGCGTATCACTAAACAGACTAGTGTGGAATCAGCCGCGTTCTCGTCTTCGCTTTCCTCGTCCAAATGGACCACGGCATTCGACGATTCTATTAATCTCCTCCGAACGGTGACTGCGGCCTTGTAGAATTTATATAAACCAAAAAGAAGAACCTGTTCAAACGTCATTCATCCAGTTGTCTAAATTTACACATTAGGGGGTCGGTGGAAGGCTGGTTAAACCGTTTGGTTTTCGACCACTACGACCCGGGTTCGATTCCCGCATTGGACACTTTTTATGTTTAAAAAAAAAAAATGCTCAAATGGCCCCCCGATTCTTGCAAAAGTCCAACCCCACCAGCGAGTGCAAGTAACCAAACGGGGCTCTGGCACATTTGTAAGTGCAAAGTCGAACTGCTTTTCACATTGAAAGACATGTGGTGCGCTTACAGTAAAAAGCAGTCTCTAACTACCCACCATGATTATCATGGCCTGTACCACGTGTACTAGGGATAAGCAAAAAAAAAAGCTCTATCATCTGAGTGGGCCA